GTGTCTTACCTACAAAGCGTAGCTGTACTGTACACGTGCACAGGAATTTGTTGACATGCTTCGATAGAAGTATGTCGCACTAAAAAGTAAAGAAATTATTACTAACAAAACTGATAAATCAATAGGTATGTTATTAAAATGTAAACAAATCTTCCATTGATTTAAAAATAAACACCATTGCCTTATTAAGGAAAATGATCACATGCCTAAATATTTAAAAAAAAAAAAAACTGAAGGAGGATTCGAACCTGCACCGATTTCTCTCTCTCTCTCTCTCTCTCTCTCTCTCTCTGCTCTTTGATTTTTTTTGTCTCTCTATGTGTGAAAGTGCGTGAAAATTGAATGTGACTTGGTGATTGTATAAAATCATCATCAGATGATGAGGATGATGAGGATGATGAGGATGATAATAATAATTATAATTATAATTGGAGGTTCCTATATATACCGCTTTATCACAACCTAGTTCATAAGTCGTCTCAAAGCGGTTCACAGATTATTATCCGTTATATGATGAGGATGAGGATGATGATAATTTCAATAGTTGATATATGTGAATGTGTGTTGATGTGATGTTCTGTATAATGTACATGCTCTGAAAATCTTGAAAAATGATTTTTTTTTTTATAAAATATGCCACATACCAATAACACTGAAAGCTGTAACGATTTTTACTCTGGTAATGGCACTCAATTCAATTCGAGGGTCTGCATTCGGGATGTATTGCTCAAAACATCACAGTTTAATACCATGGCAAACTGGTACTAAAACTAAAATGTTACAATAGCTTCTCGCCCGAATGCACCCTAATCCCGTTACTAAAGCGCTCTCGCGACACTGATTAGGATGTTCACGTGTTTACATACCGAGAAGTGTACACAGTGATTTCGAGATTAAATGGAGGTTCTTTCTGTCGCTTTTCCATTTTCATTGCACTTTATCGAAAATCGATACTGGCTCTATCTGTAACGAGACATTAGGAAAGTTAATTTCTGATTACATTATTAACAAATTCCACTTTGTTGGGGAATATTTCTGTAAAAGCCGTAATAGTTCTCTAGATAGAGGTTAGATCACATTTAACATGAGGTTAACTCTCATGTTATTTCCTGTTTTGCGGTCGTGTCAATATTTGTATTAATTTATCTACGTTACATTTCTTCCGGTAGCACTATACTTTGTTGTCCCATCAGGCCAAACGATATATAGTGACACACAAAAACTATTCGGCCCCCTTTTTTTTTACCGTGTTTCCTCCATTTGTTTTAAAAAATTTGATTCATGGTGCATATTTAACAGTTGTGCAGACAAAATCAATAGGTGTTACTTTTTGTGGAAAATGCGTAATTGAAATATTGAAAAGTGGATGAAAAACGAGAAACATATAAGTGTTAAGTGTAAAAATATAAACATATAAGTATAAAGTGTATAATATAAACATAGAAGTGTAAAGTGTAAAATATAAACATATAAGTGTTAAGTGTAAAAATATAAACATATAAGTGTAAAGTGTAAAAAATAAACATATAAGTGTTAAGTGTAAAATATAAACATATAAGTGTTAAGTGTAAAATATAAACATATAAGTGTTAAGTGTAAAATATAAACATATAAGTGTTAAGTGTAAAATATAAACATATAAGTGTTAAGTGTAAAATATAAACATATAAGTGTTAAGTGTAAAATATAAACATATAAGTGTTAAGTGTAAAATATAAACATATAAGTGTTAAGTGTAAAATATAAACATATAAGTGTTAAGTGTAAAATATAAACATATAAGTGTTAAGTGTAAAATATAAACATATAAGTGTTAAGTGTAAAATAAAAATATTTAAGTGTTAAATAAAAACATAAGTGTAAACAATAGAAACATGTAAGGCGACAATAGAATCATGTAAGTCGACAATAGAATCATGTAAGTAGACAATAGAATCATGTAAGTAGACAGTAGAATCATGTAAGTAGACAATAGAAACATGTAAGTGTGAAATAGAAACGTGTAAGTAGACAATATAATCCTGTAAGTGTGAAATAGAAACCGAAGCCATTTTCGCTTTCATATAGTATGATATGTCAGTATGTTTTTTAACACATTAGAGTGTTACATTACATAAAGGATTATCAAATTGCTGGATTTCCATGCCTTCATTTCAATCTTCATTGCCAAACTCTTGTCATTTCATCATCTTTGTCCTGTTTTCCTTCGTGTCTTCTTCACTTCATTTCCCCATTGTGTAGCTACTGTAAAGCCTACTTGATCTTAACGGCCTATTAACTCTTGTGTAGTTACTGTATAGCTTACTTGATCTTAACGGCCTATTTACTGTTGTGTAGCTACTGTATAGCCTATTTGATCTTAACGGCCTATTTACTGATGTGTAGCTACTGTATAGCCTGCTTGATCTTAACTGCCTATTTACTGTTGTGTAGCTGCTGTATAGCCTACTTGATCTTAACGACCTATTTACTGTTGTGTAGCTACTGTAGAGCCTACTTCATCTTAACGGCCTATTTATTGTTGTGTAGCTACTGTATAGCCTATTTGATCTTAACGGCCTATTTACTGTTGTGTAGCTACTGTATAGCCTGCTTGATCTTAACGGCCTATTTATTGTTGTGTAGATCCTGTATAGACTACTTGATCTTAACGGCCTATTTACTGTTGTGTAGCTACTGTATAGCCTACATGATCTTAACGGCCTATTTACTGTTGTGTAGCTGCTGTATAGCCTACTTGATCTTAACGGCCTATTTACTGTTGCTTCATTTCAATCTTCATTGCCAAACTCTTGTCATTTCATCATCTTTGTCCTGTTTTCCTTCGTGTCTTCTTCACTTCATTTCCCCATTGTGTAGCTACTGTAAAGCCTACTTGATCTTAACGGCCTATTAACTGTTGTGTAGCTACTGTAAAGCCTACTTCATCTTAACGGCCTATTAACTGTTGTGTAGCTACTGTAAAGCCTACTTCATCTTAACGGCCTATTAACTGTTGTGTAGCTACTGTAAAGCCTACTTCATCTTAACGGCCTATTAACTGTTGTGTAGCTACTGTAAAGCCTACTTCATATCAACGGGCTATTAACTGTTGTGTAGCTACCGTATAGCCTACTTGATCTTAACGGCCTATTTACTGTTGCTTCATTTCAATCTTCATTGCCAAACTCTTGTCATTTCATCATCTTTGTCCTGTTTTCCTTCGTGTCTTCTTCACTTCATTTCCCCATTGTGTAGCTACTGTAAAGCCTACTTGATCTTAACGGCCTATTAACTGTTGTGTAGATACTGTCTACTTGATCTTAACGGCTTATTTACTGTTGTGTAGCTACTGTATAGCCTATTTGATCTTAACGGCCTATTTACTGTTGTGTAGCTGCTGTATAGCCTACTTGATCTTAACGGCCTATTAACTGTTGTGTAGCTACTGTAAAGCCTACTTCATCTTAACGGCCTATTTACTGTTGTGTAGCTACTGTATAGCCTACATGATCTTAACGGCCTATTTACTGTTGTGTAGCTGCTGTATAGCCTACTTGATCTTAACGGCCTATTTATTGTCGTGTAGCTACTATATAGCCTACTTGATCTTAACGGCCTATTTACTGTTGCTTCATTTCAATCTTCATTGCCAAACTCTTGTCATTTCATCATCTTTGTCCTGTTTTCCTTCGTGTCTTCTTCACTTCATTTCCCCATTGTGTAGCTACTGTAAAGCCTACTTGATCTTAACGGCCCATTTACTGTTGTGTAGCTACTGTATAGCCTACTGGATCTTAACGGCCTATTTACTGTTGTGTAGCTACTGTATAGCCTGCTTGATCTTAACGACCTATTTATTGTTGTGTAGATCCTGTATAGACTATTTGATCTTAACGGCCTATTTACTGTTGTGTAGCTACTGTATAGCCTGCTTGATCTTAACGGCCTATTTATTGTCGTGTAGCTACTGTATAGACTACTTGATCTTAACGGCCTATTTACTGTTGTGTAGCTACTGTAAAGCCTACTTGATCTTAACGGCCTATTAACTGTTGTGTAGCTACTGTAAAGCCTACTTCATATCAACGGGCTATTAACTGTTGTGTAGCTACCGTATAGCCTACTTGATCTTAACGGCCTATTTACTGTTGTTTAGCTACTGTATAGACTACTTGATCTTAACGGCTTATCTACTGTTGTGTATCTACTGTATAGCCTACTTGATCTAAGCGGCCTATTTATTGTCGTGTAGCTACTGTATAGCCTACTTGATCTTAACGGCCTATTTACTGTTGTGTAGCTACTGTATAGCCTATTTGATCTTAACGTCCTATTTATTGTTGTGTTGCTACTGTACAGCCTACTTGATCTTAACGGCCTATTTACTGTCGTGTAGCTACTGTATAGCCTACTTGATCTTAACGGCCCATTTACTGTTGTTTAGCTACTGTATAGCCTACTTGATCTTAACGGCCTATTTACTGTTGTGTAGCTGCTGTATAGCCTACTTGATCTTAACGGCCTATTAACTGTTGTGTAGCTACTGTAAAGCCTACTTGATCTTAACGGCCTATTAACTGTTGTGTAGATACTGTAAAGCCTACTTCATATTAACGGGCTATTAACTGTTGTGTAGCTACTGTATAGCCTACTTGATCTTAACGGCCTATTTACTGTTGTTTAGCTACTGTATAGACTACTTGATCTTAACGGCTTATTTACTGTTGTGTAGCTACTGTATAGCCTACTTGATCTTAACGGCCTATTTATTGAGTACACAATAGCATGGGAGTTAAGATATCTGAATAGACGATTTCAATAAATACATCATTACTCGCGGATTTCTTCGTGAAACTATCGGATTTTACGTGTTACACAAATGGTTAATTCTTATTACTCAGAAACAGTTCTGCAATGCTTTTTTCGACGTTCCCTGTGTCCGTGGCTCAGTTCTGCAATGCTTTCCTCGACGTTCCCTGTGTCCGTGGCCTAATGACTATGTTTTTTGTGTGTTACAGTTGCACAGCTTCATCCGCCAACAGAACATGTCTCGCCTGTTTGAGCAGACTGGTATCACCGTGTTTGCGCCATACAGTACCGCATTTCTATACTACGACGAAATGCATTATGGGTATAATATGGCCGACCCAAAAATGGCAGAGAGCTTTCTATCATTCCACATAGGTGAGTGGATATTTACAAACATTTACCTTACTTTGTTTAGTTGTTTGTTTACGACAGCCTGAGTCATATGAGGACGGGTGCCTAGGGAGACACGACAGCGTGGGTCATATGAGGACGGGTGCCTAGGGAGACGCCACCGGAAAGTTAAAGACAACAGAAAAGATAGGAAACGGACAAGATACTTGGTGTTGTCAATTCAATTTCAATTCAATTTATTACCAAATGCACATTGCATATAGGCATACAGCAATATATAAATAAATACTTAACAAATATCTTGTACAATGGCGGAGAACATATGCAATAGATTTTATTCCATACATAATAATTACAAATTATGAAATCGTCAAAAGTTTGGGAAACTTTAAGGTTTTCCTAAGGTAGCTTAGCAGACTCTTATAAAGCATAATTTAGTTGTTTATGAAATAATACAAATAAAGCCTTAAGCTAACCAAATTTCTAGGAAATAACAAAACTTCAAAGTCAATCATACAACCTCAACATGAAGGTAGAACGAGTGCTATATATTATATAATGAAATGAGATTATAACTCATTGTGAAGTAAAAGACATAGATCTCAATCGCATTATACAGTAGCAAAACATTTATTTCATAATATACGATTTCTCTTAATAGTTGCCTGAATCAAGTTTTTACTTAAATTTCTAATAAGTTTAAAATATTTGCTAGACAGTAGCTCTATTAATTCAAACACAGAAGGACGAATACGATAATATGGCTTGATATACGATACTCTTAATTCTAAAAACACAGGACACATAAGAATGAAATGAAACTCATCCTCGACATCTCCAAGATCATATAAAGTACACAATCTCTGGGTTTGAGGCATTGCATTATATCTACCTGTCTCTATATTAAGGTTATGTGCTTGCAATCTATATTTCGCAAGAATACATTTATTTTTTCTAAATAGCGGTTTTGTAAAATTGTAGATCAAAACGGTCAACAATGTGTTTATACAACAAACATTTTGAAGATGTCTCGAATATGTTTCTCATTTCCTGAATAAAAGTATCCTTTATGCGTTGTATATATGATAATAAAAGATATTTCTCTTTTGGTACACATTGTGCCAACCACACATCTCCAAAACCCAACGTACACAAATCACGTCTCAGATGATAAACCAATTTGCTTTAAAATTTGGTTTCCTGTTAAAAAGCTCTAAAAGTTCATCGTAACAGGCCCTCAAAATACAGTTATTAGTCTTTAATATTTGCAGCCAGTACTTTACAATAGCAATCCTACGCTGTATATGCAAAGGGTAACGACCAAGTTCAAAATACACCATGGCATTATTTACTGTTTTCCTGACACCCAATACGGTTTTCAAAAATAATAAATGTATATTTTCAATCTGAGGTGCTCGACTATAACCCCATACTTCACACCCATAATTCACAATACATGATATATAAGTATCAAATAAAGATAACTTGGTCTTTTCATTCAACAAAAATCTTTTCGCTTTCCGATTAAGAACAAAATAAGCTTTCCTTCCTGGTACAGCAATTTTATTCAATGCAATGGTAAATTTACCATTATATTTAAAAACCAAACCTAAATAGCAAAATTGATCTACCACTTCTATAGCTTTACCATAAAAAATCCACTGCTCGTTTGGATGCAATCGTTTACTTTTCCTAAAAACATTTTTGTTTTGTCTACATTTACAGATAAATTCCATCGTCGAGAATAAGTGATTAAAAAATCCAACATATTTTGGAGGTCAACTACATCCTCAGAAAAAAATACCGTGTCATCGGCATACATAACTAAAAACCAATTAAGTAATTGCAAGCGATAACTTTGGCAATTTGACTTATTCAATTCGGATTCCATGTCGTTGACAAATAAAGAAAACATTATTGGAGATAAAGATTCTCCTTGAAATAATCCGACCTGTAAGTCGTACATAAAAGATAATTTACCATGAAGCTTTACACATGACTTAACACTCTCGTATATAGATTTGATAACATTAAGCATCCGTCCTCTTACACCCGATTTCAACAATTTACACCACAATTTATCATATGATATACTATCAAACGCTTTTCTATAGTCTACGAAAACACAATAAAGCCTTTTATTACTCTGTAAAGTTTTAGTAATCAAGGTATTAAGTACAAAAAAATGCATCCCTGGTACCAATTCCGGGCTTAAAACCAAACTGAGCATCTGTAATTACATTCTCACTTTCGCTCGACTTTAACATTCGTTTATTCAAGAGTGAGGTAAATAACTTGTCCATATGACTTACTAACGTGATTCCCCTATAGTTATTTACGTCGTTTTTATCACCTTTTTTATGCAGAGGTATAACAACTCCTTCTGACCAAGCTTTAGGAACGTATCCTACCTGTAATATAGTATTAAAAAAAAAATCTGGTGCAAAAACATCAATATACTCAATAAAATATTAATCAATGACATTGTCTAAACCGGCGGATTTACCTTTGGATGACCCTTTCATTGAAACTAATAATTCATCAAGACTGAAATCGTCATCAAGCTTAGAGTAAATACATTCGTTATCAACTTCAACTTGCTCAACATTGATGGGAGAAAAGTCAACTGAATTGTTGGCAATATCTTTAAAATATTGGTAAAAATCATTTAAAACCAGATTTCCGGAATCACAAGACTTACGTCTAGAAAAATTACTATAAAAAACGTTTGGATAATTTTTTCTCAAAATGTCAAACATATCGCCTTCATTCCGAAGATAAGATCTCTTCACCCTCGCCTCGTAGGTATTGTATTTCTTCTTTTCACGAACTAAGTTTTCTCTATTGCTGACAGTTCTACATATATTAAAAGATCTTAAAGCGTTTCTATATATTCTACGTAAACGTTTACATTCGTTATCAAACCATGGTTTGTCAGGTTCCTTGACATTACGTCTAGACTTCTGATGACAAGAACAATTACAAGTACGTATACGTTTCTCTAAACAGCAAGACAAATAGAGTGATTATCGATAACCAGTACTTCCAAACATTTGTCAACACTATCCATAGTATTCTCTAAGGTATTCAACGAATTTGCAATTAATGCCCTATTTGCATTCATAGAATCAGCAGTATTCACTGTTGCTTCTACTGTCCAGGACACAGACTTAGTAGTACTAAACGTATTACTGAAGTCACAACCATTACAAATATGAGTGTCTGCTTTTAAGGTGAAAAACAATGGCGCGTGGTCAGAAAATATCATCGGTGGTCCGACCATTTAATATTCGAAAACCAGTAGTCTTGCACATTTGCAAAAGACGACGCCCAAATTGGTTAACAAAAACATCTTCAGAATAACGAACACTTTCACCAACTCCATCTTCATAGGGTATCACACTTTCTATAACCTGATGTAAACTATCATGTAGAACATCAAATGGAATAAAGTCAGTTCTATCTGTTGTAATGTGGGCGGCAGATTATTTCTGGTCCCTTCAGTATCCTCTTAGACCCAGAAGAAAACCTCCGACTCAGCAGGGGGTCCACATTATTCATCTCTTACGATACGCATGCAGTGGGATACAGCAGGACGTGTCTTGAGTTTTTTCTGCGTCCCTTAAAAAGAAGACAATGGAGCAACCACACCGGTTATAACCTAATATACCCATATATAACCTAATATACCCCATACATAACCTAATATACCCCATACATAACCTAATATACCCCATACATAACCTAATATACCCCATACATAACCTAATATACCCCATACATAACCTAATATACCCCATACATAACCTAATATACCCCATACATAACCTAATATACCCCATACATAACCTAATATACCCCATACATAACCTAATATACCCCATACATAACCTAATATACCCCATACATAACCTAATATACCCCATACATAACCTAATATACCCCATACATAACCTAATATACCCCATACATAACCTAATATACCCCATACATAACCTAATATACCCCATACATAACCTAATATACCCCATACATAACCTAATATACCCCATACATAACCTAATATACCCCATACATAACCTAATATACCCCATACATAACCTAATATACCCCATACATAACCTAATATACCCCATACATAACCTAATATACCCCATACATAACCTAATATACCCCATACATAACCTAATATACCCCATACATAACCTAATATACCCCATACATAACCTAATATACCCCATACATAACCTAATATACCCCATACATAACCTAATATACCCCATACATAACCTAATATACCCCATACATAACCTAATATACCCCATACATAACCTAATATACCCCATACATAACCTAATATACCCCATACATAACCTAATATACCCCATACATAACCTAATATACCCCATACATAACCTAATATACCCCATACATAACCTAATATACCCCCATACATAACCTAATATACCCCATAAATAACCTAATATACCCCCATAAATAACCTAATATACCCCCATACATAACCTAATATACCCCCATACATAACCTAGTATACCCCATACATAATCGAATATACCCCAATACATATCTAATATACCCCATACATAACCTAATATACCCCATTCATAACCTAATATACCCCCATACATAACCTAATATACCCTCATACATAACCTAATATACCCCCATACATAACCTAGTATACCCCATACACACCCTAATATACCCCCATACATATCTAATATACCCCATACATAACCTAATATACCCCATACATAATCTAATATACCCCATACATAACCTAATATACCCCATACATAACCTAATATACCCTATACATAACCTAATATACCCCATACATAACCTAATATACCCCCATACTTAACCTAATATACCCCCATACATAACCTAGTATACCCCATACATAACCTAATATACCCCAATACATAACCTTATATACCCCATACATAACCTAATATACCCCCATACATAACCTAATATACCCCATACATAACCTAATATACTCCCATACATAACTTATTATACCCATACATAACCTAATATACCCCATACATAACCTACTATACCCCATACATAACCAAATATACCCCATACATAACCTAGTATACCCCATACATAACCTAATATACCCCCATACATAACCTAATATACCCCCATACATAACCTAGTATACCCCATACATAATCTAATATACCCCAATACATATCTAATATACCCCCATACATAACCTAATATACCCCCATACATAACCTAGTATACCCCATACACACCCTAATATACCCCCATACATATCTATTATACCCCATACATAACCTAATATACCCCATACATAATCTAATATACCCCATATATAACCTAATATACCCCCATACATAACCTAATATACTCCCATACATAACCTATTATACCCCATACATAACATAATATACCCCATACATAACCTACTATACCCCATACATAACCTAGTATACCCCATACATAACCTGATATATGGGAATATTAGATTATGTATGGGGGTATTTTAGGTATGTATGGGGGTATATTAATCGCCTCTTACGATCATGCAGTGGGAGACAGCAGGCCATCCTTCCACGAACCTGCACGGGTCCTAATGACGTCAGTGATAATGACATCTTATCAAACCCGAAGTTTCTTGTAGTTACTGACTGGAGTCATGTACAGACACAGGCTATAATGTAGTTATGACGCAGGGGTAAACTTGTTAATGAAATGATATTGTTGATTTGTTTTGTTGGTTATCTATTTCTCTTTATTCACATTGTCGCTAAATCGTTTCTCTTGACTACCTGACATTGTTGATTTTTTTTTGTTTCTGCCCAGCACAAGGAATTATACACGAAAGTGACATCGTGGACAATCGAGCTACAGACTCGACCCATTCCTCCAACGCTAAGCTCCACTTCAACACATTCACAGACGGGGACGATCTGGTAAGTGCTTGGTTGTTATGAGGTAAAACGTTAGCAATGATGAATATAACACACACGTGATACCGCATCACACAGCTGTTTCGTCTGCCTAGGAGTCATCGGTGATGTTAGGGTTACCAGGCATCCTACCCCTAACCCTACTACTAGGGCAAAACAAAAAGATAGATATCCAAACAGATATAAACTTCTATTGAAACAGAAGGGAAGGTGCATAATAACCTTTAGTTTATCAATTGTTTACTCGCAATCAGTGTCGCTAATTAAACAAATTGTATTGTTGTATTCACAAGATAAAGTACATTTATGTTCTGTTGATACTTTAGGTAAAATCAGTGAACGGCGCTGTTCTCCTTAACGTAGACATTGTGGCCTCGAACGGAGTTCTGCATATCATTGACAAAGTCATCGCCCCGATAGCCAGCAATAGAACTCTGCATGACTACATGTTGAAGCCGGAGATGCCGAATTTATCCTTTGTGTAAATATGACTGTTCCAGTATATAAACTCGAAGTAAAAGCGACAATAATCTTGTTTAATCAAAATCGTAAATAGATATGACAAAATGAAATGGTTATACAATTTTGTAAGAGCAAACGACGATGATTGTACAATTGTAAAGCTGTCTGATTATAGCAATTAATTGACAAAGACATTGTTTTAACTTCCGTCCATTAGAATGAAACCGACTTGTCATTTCAATTAAACATTGAACATCCTGTTGTCTTTTTCATAATAGTTTGTAATTCATTTCAGTTCCGTTACCAGAGCGTCCATTGTTGACATGGGCCTGAAGAATAGAACACGGAATAACAACTATCAGTTTACGGCCTTCGCTCCAAATGACTCTGTTTTGTTCCCTATGCCGGCCTATGGACAAGACGTCTTGTTTGGTGACGCTTTCCTCCTACGTTCGGTCAGTCTATCCTCCTACGTTCGGTCAGTCTATCCTCCTACGTTCGGTCAGTCTAATGTGATCTTCTCTAAGCTTTATTAGATCGGTAACTGTAATAAACCTTTATCAGGGTTTGACCACATCCTCCTGTCTAGGTTTAACTAAATATGTTACTACTGTAGACTACACTAGTATCCTAAGTACGATTTTTTTTAAATCATTTCAAATCCAGATTAAAGTGATGTTAACTTGCGTAATAATATTTTATCGATCTGATCAAAGACACACATTTAGACTCTTTGTCGAAATGTATAATAATAAATGAACAATTCAGAAAAATACCGCCAGTTTAGTTGTAGGACAAAGCTTTGCATCTTCGTGATAATTAAATATACACTTGGTTTGTCCTTATATTTCAAAGTGAGCAAGACTCTACGTGAACATATTATATTCGTTGCCATCTGCGTTCTTACAGCCTTATACGCCATTAAAATGAAGGCCAATCCTTGTAGTAACATTAAAAATAATGTTCAAATGTTAAACAAAGAAAACACATTGGTAGCGGGTTGCTACGATGGTAACTATGGAAGCCGTGGTTGCTAGGATAATATAGTTTCAGTGAATCTACGTCGATATATGGGTTAATTAAGAAAATACACAGTGAACAAAACCTTTTTTTCTTCTTTTTATCGCTTTTAGAGTATTTATGAGACCTCTGTATTGTGTGTCCTGTTTAGGTAATACAAGCTCACATGATCCCGGACTATGTCCAGTTCCTGCCCAGTAGAGGGACCGTACTACCGCGGGTAGCCACTGCTGGCGCTGTAAAGTTTGAACGAAGAAATGGAGAACGTAAGTACAGAGTAATCGTTTGTAACCTTTGATTGGTTTGTACGAATCTGACAAAAGAAATAAACATACAACTAGAGATTACGCAGTGTCACGAGATTAACGCGTGGACCGGGAATTCCGCCTCCTTAGCCACCCGTACTGAGGGCGTATACTTCAACACCTACTACTATATTGATAATAACAAATGAAGGGCATAAATAATATTTGTCGAATATAGATCTTACCAGTGAAAAGCGAATATTCCACAGGGCTAAACTTTGGGTTTTAGCGTACAACTTAGGATGATCATGTAGAATCAGAGCAATATTTATCTTGTTGTTGTTTCTTAATTTGATATTAATGAATATATCACAGATTGAAAATTTATATTAATTTGCCAGTTAGGGTTAGGGGTAGGATGCCTGGTAACACTGAGTTCGTACTTTATTGACAGTTTACGTGATGAACAACAAGGTACGAGCCGGATTGTAGACTTAGGGGTAGGATGTCTGGTAACACTGAGTTTGTACTTTATTGACAGGTTACGTGATGAACAACAAGGTACGAGCCGGATTGTAGACTTAGGGGGAGGATGTCTGGTAACACTGAGTTTGTACTTTATTGAGAGTTTACGTGATGAACAACAAGGTACGAGCCGGAGTTATAGGGTTTGGGGTAGGATGCCTGGAAACACTGAGTTTGTACTTTATTGACAGTTTAGGTGATGAACAACAAGGTACGAGCCGGAGTAGTGGGGTTAGGGGTAGGATGTCTGGTAACACTGAGTTTGTACTATATTGACAGCTTACGTGATGAACAACAAGGTACGAGCCGGAGTAGTAGGGTTAGGGGTAGGATGCCTGGTAACACCGAGTTTGTACTTAATTGACAGTTTACGTAATGAACAACAAGGTACGAGCCGGACTAGTAGGGTTAGGGGTAGTATGTCTGGTAACACTGAGTTTGTACTTTATTGACAGTTTACGGGATGAACAACAAGGTACGAGCCGGAGTTATAGGGTTTGGGGTAGGATTCGTGGTAACGCTGAGTTTGTACTTTATTGACAGTTTACGGGATGAACAACAAGGTACGAGCCGGAGTTATAGAGTTTGGGGTAGGATGCCTGGTAACACTTAGTTTGTACTTTATTGACAGTTTACGTAATGAACAACAAGGTACGAGCCGGACTAGTAGGGTTAGGGGTAGGATGTCTGGTAACACTGAGTTTGTACTTTATTGGCAGTTTACGTGATGAACAAGAAGGCACGAGCCAGAGTTGTAGGGTTAGGGGTAGGATGCCTGGTAACACCGAGTTTGTACTTTATTGACAGTTTACGTGATGAACAACAAGGTACGAGCCGGAGTAGTGGGGTTAGGGGTAGGATGCCTGGTAACACCGATTTTGTACTTTATTGACAGTTTACGTGATGAACAACAAGGCACGAGCCAAAGTTGTAGGGTTAGGGGTAGGATGCCTGGTAACACCAAGTTTGTACTTTATTGACAGTTTACGTAATGAACAACAAGGTACGAGCCGGAGTAGTAGGGTTAGGGGTAGGATGCCTGGTAACACTGAGTTTGTACTTTATTGACAGTTTACGTGATGAACAACAAGGTACGAGCCGGACTAGTAGGGTTTGGGGTAGGATGCCTGGTAACACTGAGTTTGTACTTTATTGACAGTTTACGTGATGAACAACAAGGTGCGAGCCAGAGTTGTAGGGTTAGGGGTAGGATGCCTGGTAACACTGAGTTTGTACTTTATTGACAGTTTAGTGATGAACAGCAAGGTACGAGCCGGAGTTATAGGGTTTGGGGTAGGATGTCTGGTAACACTGAGTTTGTACTTTATTGACAGTTTACGTAATGAACAACAAGGTGCGAGCCAGAGTAGTAGGGGTAGGGGTAGGATGCCTGGTAACACTGAGTTTGTACTTTATTGACAGTTTACGTGATGAACAACAAGGTACGAGCCAGGGTTGTAGACGCCAACATCCCCGTCTCCAACGGCGTCATCCACGTCATTGACAATCTTCTCTATTTCGTCTATATGAACATTGTACAAAAGCTACAGGAAATGTCGGAAACAAGGTAAGATCACATGATAGGGTGTACGGGAGGTATAGTACATCATTGTACCCATTGCTGTTTTACAGACGGAATAAGTTAATTTGTGTTCAAAAGTTTTAATACGAAAATGATAAACTTGGAATTGTTTTAAATATGCAGGTATGTAGGTACAGGTACTGATTGGTGATGATCGTGCTGTATGGGGAAAGCAATGTACATAAACACTACATAAAACTTTCTTAGAATTTAGACACATGACAATAGGTCTATGAGATACAGATTTCTTACAGATCTTCTGAAATTTTGAAAGACCCGACCACGACCAGGAAAATTGGACTTGTATTTATTGTTCAATAACATGAAATGAAGGAAATATGTGTAATGATAAAGGAAGACAAGTCACAGAGGACATTTTTGCATTCATAAGAAATAACGTCACAGACAACTTGGTTTATGGAGTATAGTATTCCAGTAGACCTACGGTGTCGTCATAGTGATTGTGTACGCGTCGCGTCGGTCTGCCGTTAAGTTGGAACACTGTTAGAAACAGCCACGCATAGAGTTTAATACTTAGAACATGCGGAGTAAGTATTAATGACTACTCGTCAATATGTGTATAGTGTTTCAGTTTGTGTTCTGCATATCAATTTAAATAAAAAACTGAATTTAAGTTTTTACCTGTTCTGTGTTTCCAGGAAGGCCTTAGGTTTATACCTCGACAAGCTACCCCTCAGTACGAAGACAATACTGGCGAGTACAAATAAAAAGTTCACCATTTTTGCACCAACGGACGAAGCCTTTGCGAAAATTCCAAGATTAGATCAGGAGGAATTATCAAACGATTTGTCACTATTATCAGAGGTAAATATCACAGCATGTGTGTATAGTAAGATTATTTCTAGAAATCTTGTTACCATGGCGCTTCGTTACCATAGCGACTCTCTTATATTGTGGTCGATAATTCTGAATGAAGTATTTTACAGGAAATATTTCTTATTATAATTTTGTTGTTCTAATACGGATGATTAATTTTGTTTCGACTTTTAAAGTTGTTATTTTTCTCACTAATCTATAGTGCATGGTACAAACCTTAGCGATATCATCTAGAATTAGGTTACATTTCGTATTATTCTTTCTTGATTTGTGATGTAAACATTACATCATAAATAATCACGAGTTTATATAACAGAAGGCTTGTGTATGTATACAAAAGTTTACTCAGAAGAAAACAAAATAAAAATAAGCGGTCATTAAATTTTTGTATTTCACATTTTACACTTTATACATGAACTTTATTTATTTTACAACAATTTTGAAACAGCTTATTTCAACTTATATCAATCTCACTTTTATTATAACAAGCTACGATCTGTTGTACAAACAAAGCACTAGGCTGATACATTCCTTGTGTATGTTTTCTTTACTCGTTTAGTTTCTCATATTGTATCCAGTGTTAAATGTATCCAAAATAATTTAATACCAAAATGACATAAAGTCCGATATGCAAATAATGTTATAGTGTTATCGCTGATGGTAGCATCAGCTACGTCACACTTATTCTGATAAACCCACTGCATGCTTTAAATGTTACGAAACATTTCCAGGTTCTAGAAACTCACATCATCCCTGACGTAGAAATCGTCGGCTACAACATTCCTCGATATGACGAGCTGACCTCCATTAACAATAACACCATCCGGGTACTCCAAGTCAACAACGGTAGGTATACGTTACTACGACGTCATCGTGACGTCATTGCATGATGAAGCAATGGTTGTTGATGGTTATATGTTTACATTGATAGACCTTTAAATTACCACAACACTAGGGTTTCAGGTTCAACAAAGAAAGTGTATCGTGGGTCATGACGTCATGCGTGTGAAAATACCACAACCAAAGTCAGTCTGGTATAATGTGACAACAATGTCAGTCTGGTATAATGTGTCACCAATGTCAGTCTGGTATAATGTGTCACTACTGTCAGTCTGGTATAATGTGACTAATGCAATCTATTACCTGTAACTGAGCGAGATCGGGTTATCTCGGTCGAGGGTTAAGATTTTGTAACAAAATCCCAACCGAGGCGTAAGCCGAGGTTGGGATGTTACAGAATCTTAGCCCGAGACTGAGATAACCCGATCTTGACCAGTTACAGGTAATTGTTTTGTTTTCTCGCACCTTTTAGTTCGAAAAAAATATTCAATTTTGCTAAAATCTACAAGGTTCCCGCCTTGGGCCTCAAATGATAATTACCTTTTCAATACTTAAGCTACATTTGAATGCTTCGGCGTAAAAATGTAGCCTGTCCTTACATAGATTACAACGTATTTCACAGTGTAGATTATATTTTTTATCTACAACATCAAATATCTAGCAACATCAAAACTATACATATAACGACAAAAAAGAACATTTATAATTCAAATTGTCAATTTCAAACAGTTCACGCGCGGATGAATACATCGCAGTGTAAAAATTCCGCGAAATGTCACGTAAAGGTACAAGACAGATCGGACGAGATAGAGAAATCTAGCATGAGGTATAACGTGAGATATCTCTGTATGAGGTGCGAGAAAACATTGTCAGTCTGATATATTGTGTCAACAATGTCTGTCTTGTGAAATATGTCAACAATATTTTGACAATGTCTGTGCGGTATGTATAACAAGCTCGTACACTTACTGTTATAGAGGTTTACGTAGAAGCTGGAGGAGTGCAGGCTAGAGTGGAGATGGCAGACATTAAATGCACTAATGGTATTATCCACCTCATCAGCAATGTCCTCCTCATTCGGAACTTCTCTATATGGGACGCTATCTCCGGCAACGCACAACTTCAGTAAGTTAAGTTTATTGTGAACGAATGTTTTTCTTATTAATTAATACATGATCAACATCGAAAACGTCCCCATTCAGTGACCAGCATCACTGTAAAGACGTTGATAGGTCATTATTTGTGTCTACATCCAGAGGTCAACTATTCTGGTTAACAGGGTACTGCCACCCTTCACTGCCAGCAGCCTACGGCCAGGACATTATGTCAATCCACAATTATATCCCAAGTCATGTGATCGTATTTGTTTTACATCTCAGATACGCGGCCAATATGATATCAAAGGACCCGACATTACAGTCCATTCTGTCGGGGACCGCGGCAGGCTACGGACAACTGACCATGTTTATACCTGGTGATGCGGGAATATTTAAAATCCCCGAGAGGACTCGTAACTACTTTAGCAGCGACCCTAACGTCGTTATAGAGGTAAGTGGGGAAGGTGTCTGTTAGAGCCAAATATATACAATGTATACAATATTGTCTCAACTGTCTATCGGTGGAATGCATGCTATAGAGTATAAAACACATGGCCAGGATCATCGGTTCATGTTTCGTTGTAAACGTTTTAATTTGCCTGCAGATCAGTTAACACTATTTCACGGCATTCATTGTGTATCCATCAGAATCAAGTAATTAAGCGACATCAATACATTTGCTTGTGACAAAATGACAATTATCATCACGTTGACCCTGCTAATCTCGTAAATCGATTAAATATATATGACATTCCTTCTGTTACAGGCATTTCGGGGTCACCTGTTTCGAGGAGAGCTTCCATCCTATGACGTCACATCAATGATTGTCAAGAAAACCATTAGCGATAAAGATATAGAAATTGAAATTCTAAAAGGTAAACTATTAGTATATTATTTTGATATTTCAAGACACAGGGTGGCAGACTCTGCTGGTGGATTGTTTAGTCCCCGAGGTTTGCTGTCACCTTGATTGTATCTGAGTAAGGTTCACAACACACACACACTTTATGATGAATTATTGAATTTGAAATTAACCTTACTGCTCTAAATGTTTTAACTGATAAATGGGGTCTCCGCACCTGTCCCTCTGGTTTAACTGATAAATGGGGTTTCCGCACCTGTCCCTCTGATTTAACTGATTAATGGAGTTCCCGACCTGTCCCTCTGGTTTAACTGATTAATGGGGTTTCCGCACCTGTCCCTCTGGTTTAACTGATAAATGGGGTTCCCGACCTGTCCCTCTGGCTTAACTGATAAATGGGGTTTCCACACCTGTCCCTCTGATTTAACTGATTAATGGGGTTTCCGCACCTGTCCCTCTGGTTTAACTGATAAATGGGGTTTCCGCACCTGTCCCTCTGGTTTAACTGATAAATGGGTTTCCGCACCTGTCCCTCTGGTTTAATTGATAAATGGGGTTTCCGCACCTGTCTCTCTGGTTAAACTGATACATGGGGTTTCCGCACCTGTCCCTCTAATTTAACTGATAAATGGGGTTTCCACACCTGTCCCTCTGGTTTAACTGATAAATGGGGTTTCCGCACCTGTCCCTCTGGTTTAACTGATAAATAGGGTTTACGCACCTGTCCCTCTTGTTTAACAATTGTTTAGTCAATTTGGATTGACATCTTTGCTCCTATCATCACTGATGAGTCCCCCTAACATCACCGATGAGTCTTTCTAACATCGCCGATGAGTCCCCCTAACATCAGCGATGAGTCCCCCTAACATCACCGATGAGTCCCCCTAACATCGCCGATGAGTCCCCCTAACATCACCGATGAGTCCCCCTA